CTATAAAAGGGACTCCCTCACCATCATTAGAGAGCATCAACTCTAGCTCATCATTCATGTATTGAGGAGCGGGCCCTTATTCTATAAAAGGGACTCCCTCACCTTCAAACGCTGCAAGCCGAGCCAACCAAGGCAACATAAGCCACGAGCCGAGCAGCCTCGCAGCGTGTGCTACTTCTAGTTGAGCGTCATTTCAGATTGAGCACTGCCTCATATCGAGCATTAGTTCAAGACAACATCTAGTTACTTCGGCCCACATATGGACTGAATTTCAAGTCTCCAGCCAAAAGACTCTCTTGACTGAAGACTTGGGGGACTACTATTTATACCATATTTAGGGCCTCGTATTTAGACCTCGTATAAATACTCGGGGGACTTAAATGTAATTATGTGATAAAGGAATGGGCAAATATGTAAGAAGTGATGAGTCTTTATTCTATAAAAGGACCCCTCACCCTCACAATTAGGAGAGGCCAATTCTAAGGCTCCTCACCCCTCTCCAAGCTCTCACTCTCAGAGCTCTCTCTCACCTCTCAAATAAATACATATTCAGTGTGGACGTAGCCCAAACCTTGGGGTGAACCACGATACATCTTGTGTCATTTACATTACATGCAAATTCACGGTCGGATTTACGTTGTTCCAAGACATCCGGTTTTGTGCATCAACAACTCTAAATTGGACTTAATCTCTCTCTAATACATAAGATTAAAAAGTTAAATTCAAAATTGACCTGGCATTGGAGTTTTAATCACTTGCATCGCTACATTTGGAGTCAAATATGACTTTTAACCTTTGTATTCTAAAACGAAGACAACCTCATACACCCAAATGCAAGTCCAAATTTTTAACATTTACTGGTTTGGTCTGGTCTGGTTCACCTTTGATATCCAACAATTACCTAATAATTGGAGTCGATTGAGTTTTCTATTGCTTCTCGAAAATGCAATGGAGCGGCTCACTTAGCGGCTTCATTTATAATGAGGAATAGAGGCACTATAGATTGGGTATGACGTTCTTGGGATAATTGTCTAAAATTTTGGCCAAAAATGTAAACGTTTCAATCCATATTTAATAATATCTACTATCGTTTGACCACAAAAAAAAAAAAGAAAAAAAAACACAATAAAGACTATGTTGTGACACAAATTCTAGCGCAAGTACGATTTTGTAAATAAGTAGTAGATTATATTTTGTACTACTATAAATAAAAGCACGGTAATGAGAAATGCACATAACATAAATTTCTCAACTCTGTCATCTTTCTTTGACGCACCATCTCTCACTCTCTCCCTTCAATAAAATAGGCCGCAACACACTACAATTACCTTTTTTTACTTTTTGCTTCCCTTGATTTACTAAGGGGGTGTAGTCAACTTGGATTTCAGAGGATTTTAATAGACATTTTTAAGTGACATATTTTAGAGGATTTTAATATATTCTACAAGCTTATACGGATTTTGATAGATTTATATGGATTTCACCTATAGATTTCTATGGATTTGTATGGATTTTTTCTAGGATTTCTTAGGACTTTTATCCTGCCAATCAATGGAGATCCTACATATGAATTCATCTCTAATTTCTCCTCAACTACAAAACACTCCACCCACGGACCCAAACTCAAATCCCCCATGTCCCCGGATGCTCAAGAACTGTTGCCAAAGTTGTTTCATTAGGCTCAAATCCATCACCCCTCATTTCCCGAAACAACCCTCATCGCATCTCCAGCACACCTCATATTGCAATACCCAGCAATCATGGAATTACATTGTAACAACTCGTCCCAATTAATATAACGGATTTTGGAACGGAAAGGTATTTTGGTATTTTCATTATGGTTGGACTAGATATTTTGAAATGGGTTGCTTTTGGGCTTTATTTTATATTTGATGTGCCTAAGTGGGCCCCACTCCTTTTGGTTTGTCTCACGGCCCTCTTCCCTTTCTTCCTTTTGGATCCATGAGCTATCTCTCTCTCTCATCTCTGCCCTCACTCTCTCATTCTCTTTATTTCTCATCTTTCCCCGAGCTCGCTTTCTCTGCAACTTTCCATCTCCTCTCTGAACCACACACACAGAGCAACCACAACTACCTCAAACCACCACCACCTGGATGGAGAGGCTTCGAAAACCCCAAGCTAAGCACCAGGAAACCCTACAGTGACGGTGTCACTATTCATCATCTTCCCCAACGTGTTTCGTGATTTTTCGACGTTAGTAAGCTTCTAGAAATCCTTGGGATGTGTTTTAGGGTTAGATCGAAGCTTGTTTTGAGTTGTACATATGTGTTAATCGCAGAAAATAGCTTGGAGTAGCTTTTCCTAGTTTTCCAACTAACAACGCCATTTTTTAGGTGTTTTCCGGCCAAACCACAATGAGTTAGCCATCGTGCAAGGTACCATTCTCTTCATCTCATCAAGTACTACAACTTTGGTTTTTGAATCACTTGAATTGGTTGAGTATCGAAGAAGTTATAGGCGTTTGAATTTGTGCCCAGAAACTAGGCAAACTTGGCTTGAAAACGGGTTAAACCCAATCCACAACCTTACCCGGCCCAATGTTATTGGGCCATAGAACTTGGCCCAAACTCTCGGCCCAATCCATAATTGTGACCTATTGAACCCAGCCTAGTTACAAGCCTAAACCTAAATGAGACCCAGCCCAACCCTTTAGCCTGGGCCTAACCCAATAAACTAGGCCCAAGCCCAACTACCTCAGGCCCAAACCCAAGGAAAATCGGCCCAACCCATAACCAATCCTTGAACCCAGGCTGTGAACACGCAGGTTTTGGCCGACGTGTGGAGCACATGTTCCTTCACTGGAGATACTATACTCCGCCACTATCCACAATGGTGACTTTTCCGATAACCCAAATCGGCATATGTGGCAGCACGTGAAGGTGCGTGCAACGGCGCATGGGGGTACCCGAGGTTCCCCTATATATTTTTCGACGTCCTGAATCCGTTTATGACGTCTGTTTCCCAAAATTCAACTATTTTAGTATAATTTTATTAATTGGTACCCTTATGTGCTTAGGTGCAAGTGTTTATGACGTTTCCATCCTCTCTAGTTTGTACGGCTCTTTGACGGCAAAGTATCTGTGAGTGGACCCTTTCCAAAATGCATGTTTTACTATTGGAAATGCATACATGAAAAACATGATTTTATGTCTATGTTTTATGAAACGTTTATGAGTAAATTGGTTTCATGCTTTATGAATTATCATGCTCATTCGACTTTACGTTCTTAGTGGTATATATGATTGATGACTATATACCCATTGATAAACGTGGTTTTACAATATGACATTTTAGTTACTGAGCTCCGATTTAAGATATATATATATATATATTAGAAATATTATGTTTAATTTTTATGTGCTTATTTAATGGCTATTCATATGATACTGCTTACGAGTGAATGATACTTATATTGGCTTTGACCGGACATTTGTTTAGTGGCTTCGGCCGAAAGATACTTATATTGGCTTCGACCGGAAGATACTTATATTGGCTTCGGCTAAGCGTTTGGTTGGTGGCTTTGGCCAAAAGATACTTATATTGGCTTTGGCTGGGTGTTTGGTTGGTGGCTTCGGTCGAAAGATATTTATATGGGCTTTGGCAGGGTATTTGGTTAGTGGCTTCGGCCGAAAGATACTTATATATTGGCTTCAGCCAGAAGATGTAGTGCCTACGGGCGATTGTGATACTACTACTAAACACAACATTATATACGATATATGTTTTTGCACAAAGGTTTTATGGTATGCTAGGGTTTTCGAAAAACTTATTACATATTATACTATTGAGTTATCATAAACCTTGGGGGTTAGTACGTTGATGAATAACTGTTTCAGTATTACTTATATATAAACTTGGTCCACTCATGTTTTGTTTTGCACCCCCTCAGGACTTAGAATCGAGACATACAATCACAACGTCAAGGCACTCTCGCATCGACATCTTTGAATTCTTTTGGTGTAGGACCCATCTCCTTGTTCATTCAATTTCATATTATTCATTTTTAGTGTCTCGGATTTAGTTGTATGCTCTGAATAAATTCCATAAATGCATATTCATTATAATTAAATTTTCAAGTTTTATTTATGTCAGTTAATTGTTCTTAGTTCTCATGCGTCCTAATATGGCTTCATCACCTTCGGGTGTCGGCCACACATGCTTACCTTGGTGTTTGGTAAATATCAGGGTCGGGCGTGTCATACACAAAACCAAATCCCTCTCAATAATTTCATCAAACACTTTCCGTGCAAAAACCCACTCACCACATCTTGCATACATAGTAATCAAAGAGTGACTCACTTGTCCATCTTTATTCAATGCCATCCATGATTTGTATTGGATTTGAGCAACAACAAACACTCACAAGCTTTAATCACAACCTTACCTGCAACAGCATGGGATTGTTCATCCAATAAAGGCAAAGCACGAAAATCAAACCCATTTGGCAGTGCGTGGGTGGGATTGTTCATCCAATATGGCAATGGGTGGGTCACGGGAAGGGATGAGGTGTGGTGAAAGCAAGTTAGAGAAATGAGGATTTGGAAATATGTTATGTATAGATGGTGAGCTGCTCACTGGGTTCTCAAGCGAGGCAAAAAATGAGGAAGACTATTCCTCTTCTACAGATAGAATCCTTTGTTCTTGAAATGAAATCATTGGGATGGAGATTGGATTATTTATGGCATTTGTTATTTATAGTTCTACTCTCAAATCCATCAAAATCCTACACCCATTAAAATCTTAGCAAATCTTTGATATTTTCACAGACTTATGTGAACTTTTTAAAATCTTAATCGACTATCCATAGATTTAGATGTATTCTTTAAAATCCTTTAAATTCTAATTTGACTAGACCAGAATTTCAAAATCTTTTAAAATTCTCTTGTAAAATTTAATTAACTACTCTTGAATTTTAAAATCTATTAAAATACTATCAAATCCTATCAAATCTTAATTTAACAACATCCCCTTCCCCCAATCTACCTTTCGTGTTGAAAAAGACTTAACCCTTAATTACCAAGCGAGAGAATAAAGATACTCACTAGGCCAAAACACACAGTCGTTTCACTTCCTCCTCCTTCAAGCAAAGCACAAAGAATTCCCGACTCGGAGACCTAACTCACCCGAGTCACCACCACCACCGATTCCAAATGGAGGCCCAAGAGGGGACGCAGCAGCCGCACCTTGTGCTCGCAAACAAGCTCTTCCTCCTTTCCCATTCCGATGTCCCGGACATCGAAAAGGTCCAACTCAGGGACGAGGTTTTCACCTCCGTCAAAGCCGACGGTAAGATCGCCTATTTTTCACTAAATTGAACCCATTTTTGCATTGCCTGTGTTTTCAATTTCGGTTTTTGCTTATCGCGGATTGAGTTTCGGTTTGATGTTTTGTAGATATGGCGCCGTTGTACGAAACCCTAGTCTCCGAATCGGTGCTTGAGCTGGACCAGGGCGTTATGGACTCGATGAGGGCGAAGAACCAGGAGGAGCTCAAGAAACTTGACGAAAAGTGAGTTCTTTATTGTTTTTTCTCGTTTTAAATTTTGATTTTGGTCCAGATTGTGTTTGGTTACTGAGAATTATGCGAAAAGAGAACTAGGGATTGAAATTTATGCTTTGGACGCTTCACCGTGAGATACGAAGCTACAAAAATTTGCTATTACTTAGGTAACTTGTTGAACTAGGCTTGCACAAGTGATGTAGTTTTGTGAGATGGGATGCTGATGGGGTATGAATTCTTCATTGGCATATTCGTAATCCGTTGGAGTTTTATTGTAAATTAAGTCGGATGACAAGATTTGTTTGAATTGTATAGGGTGAAAAATATTGTTGTTTGTACTATTATTATAGCCATTGCAATGAAGTAATTTCTGTTACCAAGTAAGTTATATGGTCGGCTTTGTTTAGGATTGCTGAGGCAGAAAAGAACTTTGATAACTTGTTGAATTAGGCTTTACGCAGGTGATATAGTTTTGTGGGATTGGATGCTAATGGAGTATGAGTTCTTTGTTGGCCAACCGTTGGTTTTTTTCACAGTGGGTTAAGTGGAATGACAAGATGTGTTTGAATTTTCTAGTTTGAAGAACTTTGTTATTTGTGCTATTATTACAGCAATTGATTTGATTTATTAGATCTTGAATTGTAATGAACTTTTTTTCGTGATAAAGTGGTTTCCTTTACCAAGAAGCTTATCTGGTTGCCTTTGTTTAGGATTGCTGACGCGGAAGAGAACTTAGGGGAAAGTGAGGTTCGAGAAGCTCACTTGGCCAAGTCCCTGTTTTTCATTCGTATTGGCGACAAGGTAGATAAGTGGTAACTTATTTGTTATACGAGTCATAGCTGCATTTTATTTTTCCCCTTTTAGTGGTATGCCTCAGTTTGACTTCAAAAATTCTTCCCTTATGAACCTAGGAGAAAGCATTGGAACAACTCAAAGTAACGGAAAGCAAGACAGTTGCAGTTGGGCAAAAGATGGACTTGGTCTTCCATACACTGCAACTTGGTTTCTTTTACATGGATTTTGACCTCATTTCTAAGAGTATTGACAAAGCGAAGAAGTAAGTAGTAGTGACGTGGATTTATGAGCTGCAGTTTTTGGTTCTAAATTTGGTAGCTGAGCTTTGTTTGTAACCATTGTATCATGATGGCAGCTTATTTGAAGAGGGAGGTGATTGGGAAAGGAAGAATCGTTTGAAGGTTTATGAAGGCTTGTACTGCATGTCCACTCGGAATTTTAAGAAGGCTGCTGATTTGTTCTTGGATTCGATTTCTACCTTCACCACTTATGAAATATTTCCATATGACATCTTCATATTTTATACCGTCCTTACAAGCATTATATCGTTGGACAGAGTTTCTTTAAAACAAAAGGTAAACTGCTTTCTTACTGCATGCTTTGTGATTTTGCTTTCCTGTTTTATATGTTTCTCCCATTGTGTTAATTAATGCGTGTTCTTACAAGAAATTAATAATTTTGAACAATATGTTGCAGGTCGTGGATGCTCCAGAGATATTGACAGTGATTGGGAAGATTCCGTACCTTACCGAGTTTTTGAACTCTCTTTATGATTGCCAATACAAATCATTTTTCAAAGCATTTGGTAAGTAGACAACTAACTTAAATCATAAGAGATCTATGCAGTGATTATTGTCTGACATGATATGGTTGCATGATATTAGAACTTTGGTTCGACTATATAATGTGCTTCAGTTTTGCATTTTCCTGAGCTACCGGAACGTTAATTGGTCCAGTCGTATCTCAACCAAACCAACATTTTCCTGAGCTACCGGAACTGTAATTTTTTTGTTTTTCAGCTGGCCTGACAGAGCAGATAAAGTTGGACCGTTATTTGCATCCACACTTCCGGTATTACATGAGGGAGATCCGAACTGTTGTTTATTCCCAGTTCTTGGAATCCTACAAGAGTGTCACTATTGAAGCAATGGCTAAAGCATTTGGCGTCACTGTGGATTTCATTGATCTGTAAGTGATTGAGTCTTATAGTTACCTCGTGTCAGGTTTATTATATGTTGTTTTATAAGTTCTGGTCCTTGATTTTGTGATGAAGCTGTTGTCCAGTATTTTACGTATACTTGCTTTCTGCATAAACATAACCGATTCTCCTATATACAGGGAGTTGTCTCGTTTCATTGCGGCAGGGAAGCTTCATTGCAAGATTGACAAAGTTGCTGGTGTACTAGAAACTAACCGTCCAGATGCTAAGAATTCACTGTACCAAGCAACCATCAAACAAGGGGACTTCTTATTGAACCGCATCCAGAAGCTATCTCGTGTCATTGACCTGTAGATAGGCTTTCTGCGTTTGGAACGTGGTCACAAAGAACTTCAGAGCATAGCAACTTGTGTCGTTTTACTTCTCATTCGTTGAAACTAAGTTGTATTTCTCCTTTTCTCCAAATTTATGTAGAATTCAAGTACTCTGTATCGAGTTTCTGCTTTTCTCTTCTAATTGTTATTCGTCGTAGTTTTTTGACTCTGTGGAAGCAAAATCGTAGCATTCTTGACACTTGCTGCGGAATTATTGAACTGGCTCGGTGCCAGAACTAGGAACACCTCCTGCCTGCTTTGTTTAATTGCTTTTTTTTCCCCCTAATTTCTCAATGTTTGAAGCGTCGTTGGATTCGATAAAAGATGCACAAGCATATGATAGCATATAACAACATTACATATATTCTAGTCAAAACCATTACAAGAATAGAGATGCAATACAACAGAAGTAACCGAATCCAATATAATCCAGAGCAAATTATAGTCGTTTACTAGAATACAGCAAGTGATGAGTAAAAAGTACGAGTAAATTAAAATCAAAGTCTAGAACTAAATTAAATTAAGAGTGAGAGTGCATTGTTGGACGAATCCTTGTTACGAACAATGCATGCAGTGTCTGAGCCTAGATAAAAGACAGTAAAGGAAATAATTTTCTAACATTAACTGAAACGGATGTTAGACCAGTCTTCGTTGCTTGCCACAAATTCTAGCTACTAAGTTCTTGATGAGCGCAAAACAGAAAGTGTGAGTGGACAATATAAAGATTTACTAAAATCTTTGTTTTTCGTAACATAATAACCCATTACTGTAAAACCGTATAGTTTCTGAAATCATACTACAAATAAGTATGAAAAGTTAAGGATCATACTACAAATAAGTATGAAAAGTTAAGGATCATAATATAAAAGCAGTTATGCTGAGGGTACAAGGAAATCACAAATATCTCAACAAGTGTAACACAATGTACTCATAAAAAACAGACACAAGTCCATGTAAGAAGTAGCTACATGAACATGATGGGTGTAATAATCTACAATCGAGTACTACATACACGTGAAGATGGCACTAAGCGCGTCCCATACGAGCCATAGATGCAAGAGCAACTAGTACAAGCTGGAACCTACAATGAATCTAATGTGAGCGTAATGGTGCGATGTGAACATCACATGAAGGTGGTCCTGACTCGAACGAGTACCTTAAACACTGGTTTAAGCATGCATGATGAGCAGGTACAATATGTACGACCATAACATCCAAATTTCATAAATCTCTACCCAACTTCAACATGTAATATTTCTAAGTAAAAATATGGCATGAATTCATTAAAATCATTATGGAAACTATAAATATAATGTGTATGAAAAGAAAGCCCACTCACTGATATGCCATCGGATTGTAGCCGCTTTGCCTGGCATGGCCGCTAAACTCCTTGGATAAGTCTCTCCTATATATCAAACACTATACTAATCATTATGCTACTCAAAGCTCATAAATACTAATGAAATGACTCAAAATTCCCTTTGTTTGCTCAAAATAGTGAAAGTACTTAAAATTGGGCTCACGGGATTTCACGCATCTTCACTCGCCGGCCAGTAGCCGTCATGCATCACCATGCACTGGTACCTGTAATGGTCACCGACATGTGGAATATTACGTTGCCATTGGCCTGGATCTTCCAAATTCCGGTCACCTAACAAAATATAGCCAGGGAAGGAATATACCTGCCATTAACAAAATATACTGACGTCGTTAGAGAATATTTCGTCGTTATAAAATATTCGCTCATCTCCTACCTCACATCGATCGCCATCCGTCGGCCAGACTTTGTCAGAATCTGGTTATTGGTCGGAAAATTTCCAAAAACCCACCAGTGTCCAAAACCCAACCATTTTTTTTTATCAAATTCACAATCTAGACTAATTCGAGGGTGTAGAATTCAAATCTCACCTCTAGAAAATCAGTCCCACAATCACAATGGTGATAGTTAGGAGGTTTGATCTCGTCGGAGAACAGCGGTGGTTTTACCTTTTTCCTCCATGCGAAGTGAGAGAGAGAGAGAGTGAGGGTTGGGGGAAGGGGGTGTGAGAGGAGAGAATCGGTAGGAGCGAGACAAAGAGGGAGTGTGCTGCAGAAAATAAAGAGGAGATGGGTCGTAGTGACACGTAAATCAACAAACAAAATAGTAAAGATCTAGAAAGTGGTAACATTACTAAATTGTACCTGACATTAAAGTTCCGTAAAATTTTTATTTGAACACCAAATTCCTTTTTGTTTGTTCTCTCGCATTCGTATCGACGAGTAATGCTCAAATATGGAAAGAAAAAAGACAAAATATGAAATGACCTAAAATGTCTACATAAAGCTTTTACTTAGCCCTTGTGAAAAATAAAATGAAAGACGAGTAACATATATAATAGCAGACCATTGACACTATGTCCACTACTAGGAACTCAAATCTACAGCATTATTGTATATTAAGTTCATCAAGTTATGTACTTGTATCTTCCAAACCAAAAGTACTTACGTATTCCTGGGAAGATCCTTCAAATGCAAGATAGCTCGGAATAATGTCCAATTCAGCTTCCAATGGATAATTATGCATTACTAAAACCCTTCAAATATTTGATAAGTTCTTAATATTGTTTACTTAATTTGTTAATGTTAAGTGTCACTGAATATCAAGAAGATCAAAGCAAGCATTTGATGTTGATAGGCAAAAATTGAATTGACGTGATTAATGTGCTACGCCCAAATTCAAATTTCCCATTGATATTAAACTTGATTCTTATTTGACAATCATCCACCATCCGCGTACGCTCGAGAGCGTACGCGTGGTTAGTTCATAAATAGTTAAAATATGCCACAATATTGAAACCCAGAAGCAATTAATTACCACAAAGCCAGCAATAATCGACCTTGAAACAAAATCCGAGGATTTTTTGAGAGAGCTGCTGCACCAAATACACACCCACAAGAGTAGCCAAGGCCTCCATATGATCTGCTCACTCAAAATATGCAAACCCTAGCAAGCTCATGACCGATGTGGAACAGCGATGGCGGTAAGAGGAGATTTTTTGCGCATGGTTAAACCCTTGGATTCAGTCATATCTAAACCTCCAGCTGATCATGTTGGCAATTTCCAATCGTACTTCTGCACTACATTTGCCAAAGCAAGCTCAATAATAACTGTGGTAAACTGAATTGCTGGGCAGCTCCTCCTGCCAGATCCGTACGGAAGGTAGTGGAAGTCATTCCCTTTATAATTTATTCCGCTATTCACGATCCTCTCCGGCTCAAACTCATCCGGCTTGCTGTAATAGTTTGGGTCTCTTGCAATGCCCCACAGATTGACTATAACTTGTGTGTTAGCTTTGATGTCGTAGCCATTTATTTTCACATCTTGGGTTAATATTCTGGGGATTAGTATTGGAAGAATAGGATATAAGCGAAGAGTCTCCTTGATCACTGCCTTGAGATAATGCATTTCAACCAAATCGTCTTCTGTTATTATCTCCTTTCTGTTTCCAACAATCCCCCTCACCTCATTTTGCAATTTCTTCATCATCATTGGATGTCTTAAAAGCTCAGACATTGCCCAGACTATGACTGAGTATGTATCAGTTCCAGCAGCAAACACATCCTGCAAAAATCGAAGTAAATTAATGGTCACCTATTAATACAGAACCTCTTAAATTAGCCTATAGCGAATCTTAAGCCACTGTGGATAGCTATGAGGGCATGTAAGGTGACGGGTAGTAGACTACGTCCTGGGTTCAAAATCCTAATAGAAAAAATAACCTATAGCTAATCTTAATACGCAAACTATAGATAATATAGCTATCTAATTAATGTGATACCCTGACTGCCTTTCAGCTTCTCAGGTGGTCGTAACAATTCAGTAATTAACAAAGACACTCTTAACAACTTTAAGTTTTCAACAAAAAATTTAAGGAACCGAAAAAAAATTCAAGTGTGTTTTTATAACGTATTGGAGTTGAAGTGTTTACCTCTAAAGTGTAAAGTTGTCAGTTACTTACACGTGAAAAGCCCTAAAATTTTCAAGTTCAACAGCTCAAGATGAGAGAGAGAGAGAGAGAGAGAGAGAGAGAGAGAGAGGCTTACCATGATATGGTAACTGTTTCAATAGGAAAACTAATCAAGTTTTCTTTCTGAATCCAACACAGAAAGTCCACAAAATCCTTTTGATCCTTGTTGCTATCCACATTAGAGATATGATCCACCACATGGTCTTGAACAACTTTCTCTAAAAAATGATCAAACTTCTTAGCCACCTTGTCCAATCTTGCATCCATACCGTTGACACGGCTCAACCAAGCAAGTGATGGGATATAGTCCCCGATATAGACACTTCCCAGTAACTCCATGAACTCCGCTACAAGTTCCCTATACATCCTCCCATCTTCTCCATCACTGTACTTCCTCCCGAAAGCCACTCTAGAGATCACGTCATTCGTAAGCGTCGTAAACATTTTGCTTAAATTGACTTCCTTTGATGATGATGACAATGACTGCTTATTTATGTTGTTGATCATGAGTTTTATTTCCTCTTCTCTCACCGAACGAAAAGAGCGAACCCTTTCATTGTTCAGCAGATGCAAAACAGTCAAACTCTTCATCTGCCTCCAGTACTCTCCGTAAGGTGCCGCTGACATGTCTTTGTAATTGTATAAAAGCTTCCCGAAGACAGTGATCTTGGGCCGGTTGCAGAATATGAGATCATGAGTTTTCAAGACCTACCGGGCAGTCTCAGCGGATAGACAATGAGGACGGGGACACTTCCGAAGTGGAGAAGCATAAGAGGGCCATGGCAACGGGATAAGGCATGAAGCGAGCGATATGGGCGCAAGCCTAGTTGGTGAAGGTTTCCAATGATGGGGAGTTTTGGTGGAGAAGGAGGTGAATTAATTCTAGTAGTGGAGAAATATTTGCATAGGATGATGATCAAACTAACAAGAAGTACTAGTCTGAGTGTGAAGAAAAAATTAGGACGTTGGTGCAACAAGCTTGAGAAGGATTCAATATTGATCAGCTCCTGCATTATTGGCAGGAGGTTATCAAGCTTCAGCATCTCTTTGTTCTTCTTAATTTGATCGACCTGTTTGTGTTTTGTGTGAATTTTTTTTCTTCAGTTAGCTACGCATCTATAATTGTACACTTTTACATGGAGTGTCCATTAAGTTATTAAGTTTTGATCGCTAAATCTTAATTATTGAATTTTAATTTAAAAAATATTCAACGACTTAAAAAACACTGAATCATATTA